CAGGGGGACGTTCCTGGTGTACAAGGACGGGGACGTGTCCCACCCCTCGGTGCGCGAGCGCCTCTGGCTCAACAGCGACTTCAACTTCGACAACGTTCTGGCCGGGATGATGGCCCTGTTCACCGTGTCCACCTTCGAGGGGTGGCCAGCGTGAGTGCCCGGGGGGGGACGGGGGGACAGCGGGACCCCCGGGACACGCTCCCACCCCCCTGCCCCCCCCAGGCTGCTCTACAAGGCCATCGACGCCAACGCCGAGGACCAGGGGCCCATCTACAACTACCGCGTGGAGATCTCCATCTTCTTCATCGTCTACATCATCGTCATCGCCTTCTTCATGATGAACATCTTCGTGGGCTTCGTCATCATCACCTTCCGCGCGCAGGGCGAGAGCGAGTACCGCAACTGCGAGCTGGACAAGAACCAGGTGTGGCTGTGGGGCCCGGGGGGCACTGCCCTGTCCCCATGCTGACCCCACAGAGTCCCTGTGGCACTGCCCTGTCCCCTGTCCCTGTGGCACTGCCCTGTCCCCATGCTGACCCCACGGTGTCCCTGTGGCACTGCCATGTCCCCAGGGTGGCACTGCCCTGTCCCCAAGCTGGCCTCATGGTGTCCCTGTGGCACTGCCCTGTCCCCAGGGTGGCACTGCCCTGTCCCCAAGCTGACCCCACGGTGTCCCTGTGGCACTGCCATGTCCCCTGCTGGTCCCACGGTGTCCCCTGCTGGTCCCACGGTGTCCCTGTGGCACTACCATGTTCCCAGGGTGTCACTGTGATGTTCCTGTGTCACTGCCGTGTCCCCAGGGTGTCACTGTGATGTTCCTGTGGCTTTGTGGTGTCACCACAGTGTCCCCACAGCACCAGTGTGTGGAGTGGCCATGTCCCTGTAGTGTCCCCTTGTCCCCACACTGTCCCCACGGTGTCCCCACAGCGGCAGTGTGTGGAGTGGCTGTGTCCCTGCAGTGTCCCCACGGTGTCCCCACGCTGTCCCCACAGCGGCAGTGTGTGGAGTGGCCATGTCCCTGTAGTGTCCCCTTGTCCCCACGGTGTCCCCACGCTGTCCCCACAGCGGCAGTGTGTGGAGTGGCTGTGTCCCCTTGTCCCCACGCTGTCCCCACGCTGTCCCCACAGCGGCAGTGTGTGGAGTGGCTGTGTCCCTGCAGTGTCCCCATGTCCTCACACTGTCCCCATGGTGTCCCCACGGTGTCCCCATGTCCCCACGGTGTCCCCACGCTGTCCCCACGCTGTCCCCACAGCGGCAGTGTGTGGAGTACGCGCTGAAGGCGCAGCCCCTGCGCCGTTACATCCCCAAGAACCGCACCCAGTACCGCGTGTGGGCCATGGTGAACTCCACCGCCTTCGAGTACATCATGTTCGTGCTCATCCTGCTCAACACCATCGCCCTGGCCGTGCAGGTGGGGACAGCTCAGAGCTGGGGGGCACACCTGGGGACAGCTCAGAGCTGGGAGACACTCCTGGGGACAGCTCAGAGCCCAGGGGACACACCTAGGGACAGCTCAGAGCTGGGGGGCACCCCTGGGGACAGCTCAGAGCTGGGGGGCACCCCTGGGGACAGCTCAGCGCTGGGGGGACACACCTGGGCACAGCTCAGGATCCCCGTGGAGGGGGGTGGGCACAGCTCAGGACCCCCGTGGTGGGGGTGGGCACAGCTCAGGACCCCTGTGGGGGGGATGGGCACAGCTCAGGACCCCCCCGTGTCCCCCCCAGCACTACGAGCAGTCGAAGCCCTTCAACTACGTGATGGACCTGCTCAACATGGTGTTCACGGGGCTCTTCACGGTGGAGATGGTGCTCAAGATCATCGCCTTCAAACCCCGGGTACTTTGGGGGGCTGTGCCAGGCCGGGGGGGGGGTCACTGGTGGGTGGGGGGGGTGCCCAGGACAGGGGGGGCTCACCTGCCCCCTCCCCAGCATTACTTCTGCGACGCCTGGAACACCTTCGACGCCCTCATCGTGGTGGGCAGCGTGGTGGACATCGCCGTCACCGAGGTCAACGTGAGTCGTGCCCCTCGGTCCGGGGGGGTCCCCTGGACCTGGGGAGGGGGTTGTTTTTTGGGGAGGGGGGTTCCCAGATGTCTGGGTCCCTCCCCTTGCGTCCGTGTCCTCACGTCCATCTGTGTCTCCACCCACCTCCATCGTCACGTCCGTGCCGGCAGAACGGGGGGCACGTTGGTGAGGTACGGGGGGCTCCTCAGCCAGGGGGGGTGTGCAGGGGTTTGTGGGGGGGTGGTACAGGGGTTTTGGGGCGCCCCTGACCCTCCCTCCCCGCAGAGCTCAGAGGACAGTTCCCGCATCTCCATCACCTTCTTCCGGCTGTTCCGCGTGATGCGGCTCGTGAAGCTGCTCTCCAAGGGCGAGGGCATCCGCACCCTGCTCTGGACCTTCGTCAAGTCCTTCCAGGTGGGGCTGGGAGGGCCAAACGGGGAGGGGGGACACGAGGGGGGCCACACGGGGGGCTCAAAATCCCCCTCACGCCTCGTTCTTCCCCCCAGGCCCTGCCCTACGTCGCCCTCCTCATCGCCATGATCTTCTTCATCTACGCCGTCATCGGGATGCAGGTGAGGGGCCTGGGGTGAGCCCCCCGGTGTGAGGGGGTCGAGGGGGGTCTGGAGGTGTAAGGGGTGTGTGGGGGGTGGTCCTGCGAAGCCCCCAGCCCCTCTGTACCCCCCAGACCTTCGGGAAAGTGGCGCTGCAGGACGGGACCCAGATCAACCGCAACAACAATTTCCAGACCTTCCCCCAGGCCGTGCTGCTGCTCTTCAGGTGG